CAGCTGTTTCGCTCTCCCAGTGAACACAATATGTTGCCCATCCTTTCAACACTACGGAATTAAACCATTAGAAACAGTTTTCATCTGGTTCTCCTAAATATCCTGGCATTTAAAGGCAACTAGTTTTCCTTTATGTTGTATTTTATTTTTACAACTCTTGAGAGAAATGCTGCTTTAATTTAAAAAAGCTGTCTAAGTGAGCCTGGAGCCCAAGTTTTTGATGTAATTATGCACCGAGAATTCTTCCTAACAGTGAATGGCTCAGAAAGGCAACCTCGTCCCTGGGGGCAGTTAGCCTTGCAGAGGCCTGGGTGAGTCACAGTGGCTGTGCTGAGTGATAGGCGGTTCCAGCTCTGTGCCAGATGCCCAGGCTACATAACTCCCCGTGCGGCACTCCCTTCTCCCTGGTCCGTGGTTCAACTCCTTGGCTGCAAACTGTATCACTGTACAGGTTTAGGGGAAGAAATGTGGCAGATACAGAGAACCTTGCCCCCACCCCCTCCCCTGCTATCCCCTGTGCAGGGCTTATGGGGGTTCTAGAAGGGGCCTGTAGCTTTATGTCTCCCTGGTGCTCAGGGAGTGCCTTGCATATCAAAGGTAGTCAGTATCTCTCTGAACAGGGCAGGGAGATAAACATGGGTGGAGATGATAATTTGGTGAAATAGATAGTTCTGGGACTTATTTAGGGCTTTCAGAGGTAAGGCTTTTCTGTCAAGCACTAGAAGCTGGTTTGGATGATCTGGGTTCTCACTAAGGTCTTACTGCTACCCAGCTAGTTGGCTTTGGGCAGATTACTTTCTGTCTTTGTTCTGGGGGTGAGAGGATGATTTGATCCTTAAGAGTCTGCAATTCAAAGCTTAACGCAACTGGGTAAAGAAAGCTGACTTTGGAAAAGGAAGAGATCTCTGGGCTTTTCTGGCTCCCAGCAAGAATTGCCACAGGGTCTTGGGATGGACACCTAGTCAGATGATCTGTGCTTCCTAGGACCCCGGGGGAGGTGGTCATGAGTTTGTTCATTACCAGCAAGATCCAGCCAATACCCCCCACCCCCACCACTGCCTCTCTGAGTGGAAGCTTGTCTTACATCTAATTTTTCTGCTGGATTATATTAGTTTCCTGTTGCTTCTGTAACATATTACCACACATTTAGTGGCTTACAGCAACACAACTTTCATATCTTACAGTCCTGGAGGTCAGAAATCCAAAGTCGGTCTCACTGGGCCAAAGTTAAGGTATCAGTAAGGCTGGTTCCTTCTGGAGGCTTTAGGGGAAATTCATTTCCTTGCCTTATGGCCCCTTCCTCCATCTTCAGAGCCAGCAGTGTGGCATCTTCTTTGGTCTCTCACCTCTGCTTCTGTCCTTGTATCTTCTCTCCCAGACTCTGATCCCCCTGCCTCCATTTTATAAAGACTCTTGTGATTACATTGGGCCCAGGATAATCTCTCCATCTCATCACCCTTAACTTAATCACATCTGCAAAGCCCACTTTACCATGTAAGGTGCTGGCCGTGGGGCTTGATCCTATGACCTTGGGATCGTGACCTGAGTGAATTCGCAAGTCTGAGGCTCAACTGACTGAGCCATGCAAACACCCCCATAAGCAATTATTTTTAACACGAAGCCGGGTGTGCTAAGTGATGTAACAGTGACAGACTCAGATAGCAGGAATATAAGAAGGTGACATTAGTTCCAGCCATCATATGGCCCGATTTTCGGCTTAGAAATATGATTGTTATATGTACCTGAATTTTAGGTTATTAACTTTTGTAGGCTAAGGATTTTAGGGCTTTATTTTCTGCTTTCTTTTAATTTTTTTTAATGTTTATTTATTTTTGACAGACAGAGACAAGAGCGCAAGCAGGATGGAGGCAGAGAGAGAGGGACAGACAGAATCTGAAGCAAACTCCAGGCTCTGAGCTGTCAGCACAGAGCCAGACGTGGGGCTCGAACTCACTAACTGTGAGATCGTGACCTGAGCCGAAGTCGGAAGCTTAACCGACTGAGCCACCCAGGCGCCCCTCTTTCTTTCTTTTAAATAGGATGGTGTGTCTTTTCCTTTTTAAGCCTCTTTAGTTCAAAAGAGGTATCTGGCTCTGATGATTCATGCGAAATCGCTTTTGCTTAAGGCTGGTTAAGGTTGGAGACAATCTGAATTTGCTAGACACAGCAGATGTTGGGAAGAAAATCAAGTGAGACTTCTCATTTCATGCTGCATCTGAATGGGTAACTTCTGTAACCTGGGCCGTACTACAGAAGAGCACTTGTTTCTTGTGGCTGACCTACAAATACCCAGCAAGGTTGGCTTTCCTGGTTGGAAAGACCATTCTTCCTCGTGTGTTCTTTCCGAGGCAAAGGGGCATCTCCTGTGAGAACTCCCTGCGGCCCAGAACACAGTTTTAGAAAATACAGCTGACTTCTCTGGGAAAAACAAAACCAACCTTGTCTTACCCTGGTCATGGAAACTAAGTTGGCACCTCATTATCGCCTTGTTAGCAGGGACTGGCTATGTTGTGGACAAATCTGGTAGGAACGGTTGGCCCTGTGTGGGCAGGGTTTTGATTTAAGCTTAATTGCTCTTCTAAAGCTCAGCTACTTAATACGACACAAGTAGAAATCTATCATCAGACTCTTGACCACCCTCCTTTCCCTTCATAGTTTCACCTACGCAGACAATTAGCGCCTCCCCACCTCTGCGGCTGCCATGATTTGTGCCTGGGCCACACTGGGGCCATCAAGGCTTGGCTGCACCCAGCACAACTACCCAGAGGAGGAAAGGTCTGTAATCACCTTTAACCGTGACTCCCCCAGGCCTCCAATATCTTCAAATGCAGTCAACCTGTTCTGTTCTGGGAGCACAGTAGGGCTGCCGGCTGGGTGAAGATGACGTCTCCTTAATGACTTATACAAGTTCTCGATTTCTCACAGAATGGGAAAGAGTAATCCAGAATCATTTTCATCTGGCTCTGACATGTATTTTGCACTTGTATTTGAATGTTGGTGTGCCTGATGTTCTGAGAACTCACTTCAGACAGAACCATGGAGCAGCCCATGAGGAGAGGGTGTCCTCAGGGATAGCTGAAGAACTGCATCCCTAACCACGTCTGCCCCTTCTCTTCTTTTCAAAGCCTGGCTAGGGTTTGAATCCCACACCTGTATTCACCAACAGTTGAGTGTTCACAGGAAGGTCACCTAATCTCTCTTGGCTTTAGATTGTTGCTTTGCAAATGTGGGGTGAACATTTTCTACCCCGGAGGACTGATGGAGATATCAAATGGGATGACAGGCTGAGCATTGATCACACAGGAGTATTGCATGCAGTAAATGTTAGGCTCTCTCCTGCTCCCTTTCCTGCCTACCACCTCCACACTTCCTCCCTGCGCCCCACCTTTCTCTCAGAGCAGTGCAAAGTGCTGGCCTTAGCAGAAGCTCTCTTTCCTCACAGTGTCTCCAAAGTGGGAGGGTTGTGACATGACACACACTTTTCACATCTCCCCTTTTTTCCTCACCGTGCCCACTCCCAGACTCTTTTCTTTGTTCCATCAGACTTCTGTACAGAACCTATGACAGTGCGGACCTTGTCTGAAGTGTCCCTGCCTTGCAGTTTCTTCCCCATACTGAATGTATGACTGGGTTCTCCATGGTAATCCCAGTTTCAAATGCACAGTCCTGTTCTTCCCATTTTAACAAGTCCTGGGAATTCTAGTTCACCCACATTCCAAACACATTTCCCTGATTACCCACTACCCAGAAGGGGAGCTGAAGACGCAGAAAATGTGGTCTTACAAAAGGGCCCTGACAACGGTAACCACACATCCAATCTTATATTGGTCAAGAAAACACCATAACCAACCAACAGAGTTCCCATAACCAACCAATAGAGTTGCCATGAGAGGCACATGTCAGACAGAGCACCCCCACAATAAGCTTCTGTGAGAGCCTGCCACTGCTGACGACTTCAAATTCAGATTCTTCGCTTGCAATTTTTGTGTTATTCCTCGTGCCAGTTGGGTTTGAGAGTGGGTTGAAGGGACCTTGATTCTTGTTTTGGGATGTGAAATGAGGATCAGGATGAAAATATGTTTGGCACAAAAATGCACATGATATACTCTGGATGCAAGTTTGTAGCCTCCTTTTTCTTTCACTTCACATATAGACTATATGGATTTATTCCTGTTGCTAATTTTTTGTTGTTGTTGTAAACAGTGACTTGACCAAGTTCACAACCGTGTCTACCGTTGGCAAGATGGTGTGGGGCTTGAACGGAGAGAACAGATACCAAGGGGGATTTAGTGGGCTGGAATGTTTTCTATTTTAACCTTGGTGTTGGGTGTACTTTTTTGGATGGTCTTAAATATTACAGAGTAAAGTAGAAATTTATGATAGTAAATGGTTCCTTAACATCTTGTTATATAGGTATATCATTATGTACTTTGTTTAAACCCTCCCATCACCCCCATTATCAGATATTTGTAATTTTCAACTTTGGACTCTTGAATAATGTAGTATTATTAAACCTCTTTGGGCATCCAGTTATGTCTGCATTTTAGCTCATTTTCTTAGGATAGTTTTACAGAATTGAATTATTGGGTCAAAGAGTATGTTGTAATGAGGAGATATTACCAGACTATCTTTTAACAAAGTCACACAAATCTAGATTATCAATACCATTGTGTCCACTCCACCTTATCTTACCAGTCCTGAATGCTGTTACTAAAAAAAAAAAAATGCTATTTTTCTAGTCATAATTTTTTTTTTTTCTGATGGTGATAGCTTGTATCTCTGATTAGCAGTGAGGTTGACCATTCTGTCATAAAATAATTTTTCCATCCGAGTTTTTAAAATGTTGACATGTATGCATGTGTACAGGCTTTTTGCAGACTCATATATAGGTGGGCCCTGGGTTTTATATGAGACGTGGGGACCACAGATGAGCAAAGAAAGAGCCCCTTGCTCCCTGGGTGAAAACTAGCTGTGCATCTAGACCTTTTGTGTTTCTGCAGTGCTGCCAAGCTCCTGGACAAGAACCCGTTCTCGGTCAGTAACCCGAACCCTCTGCTTCCTTCGCCCGCCAGTCTCCAGCTGGCCCAGCTACAAGCCCAGCTCACCCTCCACCGGCTGAAGCTGGCACAGACAGCTGTCACCAACAATACCGCAGCCGCCACGGTCCTGAACCAAGTCCTCTCCAAAGTGGCCATGTCCCAGCCTCTCTTCAACCAGCTCAGGCATCCGTCTGTGATCAGCGCCCCCCAGAGCCATACGGGGGTGCCTCAACATGCTGCAGCCATGCCCAGCGCCCGGTTTCCCTCGAATGCCATTGCCTTCTCACCCCCTGGCCAGACGCGAGGCCCGGTACCCTCTGTGAGCCAACCCCCCAATGCCGTAGTGATGCATCCTTTCAGTGGAGTCCTGCCTCAGACCCCTGCCCAGCCAGCAGTCATCCTGGGCATTGGCAAGACTGGGCCTGCCCCTGCTGCGGCGGGATTCTATGAGTATGGCAAAGCCAACTCCAGCCAGGCATATGGCTCTGAAACAGACAGTCAGCCCAGCTTCCTGCCAGCCACGGCCTCTACCACGGGCAATGTGACCTATGAAGGGCATTACAGCCACTCAGGGCAAGATGGCCAAGCTGCCTTTCCCAAGGACTTCTACGGACCCAACTCCCAAGGGTCGCATGTGGCAGGTGGATTTGCGGCTGAGCAGGCCGGGGGCATGAAAGGCGAGGTAGGTCCGCTGCTGCAGGGTCCAAACAGCCAATGGGAGACCCCCCACGGATTCTCTGGCCAAAGCAAGCCCGATCTTACAGCAGGCCCTAGCCTGTGGCCTCCACCCCCCAGCCAGCCCTATGAGCTCTATGACCCCGAGGAGCCCACCCCAGACAGGACCCCTCCTTCTTTTGGGGGTCGGCTAAACAACAGCAAACAGGGTTTCAGCGGTGCCCGGAGGCGGGCCAAGGAGGAGCAGGCGATGCTGTCCGTGCGGCCCCTGCAGGCTCATGAGCTGAATGACTTTCACGGTGTGGCTCCCCTTCACCTCCCACACATCTGTAGCATCTGCGACAAGAAGGTGTTTGATTTGAAGGTGAGTCCTGCGAGATAGCCTGGGAGCCACCGCTGGAGCCTGGGGGTGCTCCCCGCCACAACCCTGCTCTTTGCTACTCAAGAGCGAGGAACTGTCACCTTCGGGGACTAGGTAGCAGCATTTTGCCATCAGTTCCCTTGATTAAAATTATAGGGGTTAGAGCCAAAGTTCATTTCAGAAATATATCAGGGCCAGTCCCTTGCTTTAAGGCAAGGAAGAGATTCTTTCCCATGTTTATGGATGAGAAAGCTGTGGCTGAGTCGGGGACCAGGTGACCCCACCTGGGTGACAGAGAAGGGACTCAAGGCCTGGTCTCCTGCCTTCTTGAGGAGGACTCTTCCTGCGAGGTATGCCCAGAGTACATTGTACTGAGTATGGAAGGGGAGGAAAACGCTGGAAGAATTTTGGATGAGGGCAAGAGAGCACCTCTCAGGTGAGATCTGGACACATTTTGTAGAGTGCCTCAGCTTCCCATCTGCAAGATGGAGGTGGGGCCTCATCATACCTTCCCAGTGGTTGTAATACGCTTTGGGCCCCTTAAGCAAAGGTTCATTATAGTATAAATCCACGCCCCCACCCCCCGCCAAAACGTGTTAGTGATGCAGTGGAATACTCCAGAGCAATAATGATTCGGACAGCTAACATATATTAAATCCTTTCCATATGTCAACAGTAATCCTGGGAGGTAGATACTATTATTATTCTCATGTTGCAGATGAGAAAACCGAGGCCCAGAGAGAGGAAAGGACTTGCCCCGGGCCCCATAGCTAGAGAGTGGCAGAGTGGAGATTCCAACGCGGGTCTGGCTCTCCCAGAATCGGTGCCACTTGAGCACTGAGCTGTGCTGCCTCTCTTCTCTCATCCCATCTGCAGAGCATAGTGATCCCCATGTAATGGAAGTCACACCACAGTGTGTCCTTCACCTCTGCTTGGGTCATGTTGTGCAGGTGCATCCCTGTCACCCACGGGGAGGGGGCTGGGTGACATGGGGAGGCGATGGCGGATTTTGTCTCATAAGCCTTTCTTAAGGCTTTGCAGCCCAGATTTTCCCAACCAGATGTAGAAATGGGTGGGGTCTCTCTGGGGGAGGAGGGAGGGAGTGGGAGGTGGGAGGTGCCATGGGACTAAGGGTGCCCAGAGAGAGGAGGAGAGAACCCGACTTGGGATTCCGGGCTTCTGTCCACGATGAGCGAGGGATATGCGGGTCTGGCCGATGGAGTGAGGGCTAGATGGGAAGGCAGGTGTGGAGAGGAGCCAGGAGGGAGAGGAGGAGCGGAGGGAGACGTGTTTGCATGGTTGGTCCAGTTTCTGGGCTCTGAGCCTCCTGCCTGATGGGGAAGCCTGCACTCATCCCTTACCTTCTCATGGACTCAGTTCTGCTTCAGTCATTTTTCCTTTCCTTCCGGTTTAGGACTGGGAGCTACATGTGAAAGGGAAACTACACGCTCAGAAATGCCTGGTCTTCTCTGAAAAGTAAGTGCTGGCCGAGAGAACAGGTCCGTGCGTGTGTTCAGCAGGTAATCATTGAGCACCTACTGTGTGTCACATTCTGTTTTAGGTGCTGGGGAAACAGGGAACAAAACAGGAAAATGACCCTGTCCTCAAGGAGCTTATACTTAACGGTGGGGGTTGGGGGGCGGGAAGCAGATGATAAAGAAAATAAGCAAGTGAATTCTATAGCATCCCTGGTGGTAAATCCTAAGCAGAAAACAGCGTCAGGGCAGGGGCAGGAAGCGTGTGTGTATACACGTGTGCACTTGCAGGGGCTGGTTCTTGCATTTTATTTTATTGCTTTTTTTTAAAGTTTATTTATTTTGAGAGAGAGAGGAGGGCAGGGGCAGAGAGAGAGGGAGAGAATCCCAAGCAGGCTCCCCGCTGTCAGTGCGGGGCTTGATCCCACGAACCATGAGATCATGACCTGAGCTGAGATCAAGAGTAGGACGCTTAACCAGCTGAGCCACCCAGGAGCCCCTGGTCTTTAAATAGGGTGGCCGATGGGGCGCCTGGGTGGCGCAGTCGGTTAAGCGTCCGACTTCAGCCAGGTCACGATCTCGCGGTCCGTGAGTTCGAGCCCCGCGTCGGGCTCTGGGCTGATGGCTCGGAGCCTGGAGCCTGTTTCTGATTCTGTGTCTCCCTCTCTCTCTGCCCCTCCCCCGTTCATGCTCTGTCTCTCTCTGTCCCAAAAATAAATAAACGTTGAAAAAAAAAAATTTAAAATAAATAAATAAATAGGGTGGCCGAGGAAAGGCCTCAGTGAGGACACCTCAGGAGGTGGGGAATGAGCCCCTGGCTGTCTGGTGGACATGTACCCCCAGCAGAGGGAACAGCAAGTTGGAAACTTGATGTGGCTTTGGGATGCTCAGGCAGCAGCAGTGTGACCAGAGCAGAGTACTGGAGTGAGGAGCCAGAGACGTGCCAGGGCCTGGTCCTGAGCTCCTGGGCTTGTTGTGAGGACTTTTGTTTTGCTTTGAGAGTGAGGGCTGAGCAAAGGAGTGGTGCCCTCTGGCTCCACTGAGCAGGGCCTTGGCTGCTGGGCTGAGAATAGACAGGAGCGGGTTGTGGGCAGACCAGTAAGCAGGGGGCTGTGGTAACGCGGGCAGAGAAGAGGTCACATGACCTAGGGTGTGACCAGCCGGCTGGAGTGAAGTGATCTGAAATGAGCACATTCCAAAGGCTCCCCTTTCTTATTCACAATAACCAGTGGGTGGAAGTAACCCAAATGTCCACCGACAGATGAATAGGTAAACAATGTGTTATATCCCTACGCGGGAATACCATTCAGCCTGAGGAAAGGGACTTCTGACACATGAAGCGACACATGGCTGAACCTTGAGGACATTGTGGTCCATGAGGTAAGCCAGTCACAAACGGACACGTACTGGATGATTCCGCTTACAGAAGGAGCTGCAAGAGTCAGAAAGTAGAATGGTGGCAGCCAGGGGCTCAGGCAGGGGAAGAGGGGTGTTTGTTTTCTAGTGGGGGCAGTTTCCAGTTTGCAAGACGAAGAATCCTGGACTTGGACGGTGGGGACGGCTGCACAACAGTATGAGTGGGCTTCATGCCCCTGAACTGTACGCTTAGAAATGGTTACGATGGCAAATTTTATGTATATTTGATCGCAACTGAAAAACTAATTTCATAAGGGTCTCCCTTTTCCGGCTCCCTCTTTTTTTTGTTGCGGTAAAGGTCACGTAAGACTCACCATTTTAACCAGCTTAGGGTACAGTTCAGTGGTATTTAGCAGAGTCACAAGGTTGTGCAGATATCATCACTATGTGGTTCCCGAACATTTTCATTACCCCCGAACCCCATACCCGTTAAGTGCTCATTCCCTTTCGCCCTCCCTTGTAGACTGGCAACCACTAATCTGCTTTCTGTCCCTATGGATTTGCCTCTTCTGGACACTTTGTGGAAATGGAACCATTTAATAATATGGCCTTTGATAGCTGGCTTTTTTCACTCAGCAAAATATTTTCAGGGTTCATCTATGTTGTGGTATTTACCACATTTTTATGGCTGAATAATATCCCATTATATGTATATTAACACGTTGTGGTTATCCATTCATCTTTTGATCTATATTTAGGTTATTTTTTCACCTTTTGGCTATTGTGAATAGTGCTAATATGAACATTCGTGTACAAGTGTTTGAACATTTTTTTTTAAGTTCATTTATTTTGAGAGAGAGAGAGAAAGAGAGAGCATGGGAAGGGCAGAGAGAGAGAGAGAGAGAAGAAGAGGATTCTAAGCCACTGAAGGGCTTTATCTCATGAACTGTGAGATCATGACCTGACCAGAGATCAGGAGATCTCTGACTAGAGATCAGAGATCCCAGATGCTTAACCGACTGAGCCACCCAGGTGCCCCTGAACATTTATTTTTAACTATTTTGGGCCTTTGGCTGGGAGTGGAATTTCTGGGTCCTATGGTACTTCTTCATTTAGCTTATTGAGTTACTGGTTCCCCTTTTCCACCTCTCTCCAGTGCTGGCATCCGGTGTATACTCGGTTCAGCAGAGGGAACGCTGGGTGCCTCTCCCAACAGCACAGCCATTTATAATCCTGCTGGGAACTCTGAAGGTGAGTAAGGCCCTTCAGGTCAGCCACTTGAAGCAGAAACCAGCTTCCCAAAGGCTTACTATGTCACATCCTTAATAGCCAAACTTCCCTGATGTGCCGTGTGTGTGTGTGTGTGTGTGTGTGTGTGTGTGTGTGTGTGTATAGCAGACAGATCCCAAGACACTAAAATGTATTGGCCTACGCTCTAGGCTCTTAGAGACATAAAGCTTTGTTGGTTACCAACATGCCTAGGGATAAAATCACACCAATCACTAATCAATGTATTGAGAGGAAATTTTAATATTTTTCTTCCAATTTACATCCTAATCATGACTTTTTTAAAAAAAATAAAGTTTATTTATTTTGAGAGAGAGAGAGAGAGAGAGAGAGTACAAGTACGGGAGAGGGAGAGAGAGAGAGAGGATCCCAAGCAGAGTCTGCACTAACAGGGTGGGGCTTGAACTCAAGAACCACGAGATCGTGACCTGAGCCGAAACCAAGAGTCGGATGCTTAACCAACTGAGCCACCCAGGTGCCCCCATCTTAATCATGATTTTTGAAGGTAAAGCAAATGACTAGGATTTCACACACTTGGTGTAATTTATCATTTAGATTATGCTTCAAACCTTGGATCATCGTATGCGGCCATTCCAGGAAGGTCATTTGCTCAGTCAAATCCTGCATTTCCTTCGGCTTCCCCGGGGACAAACGTGAGTACAGAAGCATGTTCTCCACTGTCATAGTCATCATCAAAGCATTTGTGTCACCCGCTATTCCTGGGTGTAGAGGTGCAAAGGATGCTGGGATGAAGTTGGCACAGATGTGGCTTTGTGTAGGGCAGGAAACTGTGTCCTGTGGGCAGAGGTCAATGGGTGTTTTCTTCAGTCCAGCTAGCATTGAAACACACACACACAAAACTGACGTGTGTTGTTAAAATCGAAAGCACACACAGACTTTCTAGCATTCAGCATTGGTTTAAGGGGGAAAAAAGGTTTGAGCTTTTGTATGTATGTGTGTGTGTGTGTGTAAGACTTTTTGCTATTTTATTCACGTGGATTATTTCCTATGATGGGTAATTCTGGAAGTTGAACCAGAAAGAGAAAATGTGTTTGAAAGTAAGGACCATGCAGTGATGGGATTTGTTGGCCCCTCGGGGAAATAGTTGCTTCTGTGAAATCCTTGTTTTTAGGTGTGTTTTCATTTCTCTCTCTCTACAACATGCTCTCCAGTCCCTCAAAACTCAAAAGCTTCATTCCCCCTTTGCCTACTTATTGTGATAATTTCCCTTTCCTCTTGGTTTTTCTCTTTGGTCACCACATGTAGCCTCTTCCCCCAGAAGCTTCTACTCCAGAACACGTGGAGGGAGGTGGGAGAGGCAGAACCAGAACCGACTGTGAAACAAAATGTGTGGCCCAGCCCTGCCAGAGGGCGCGTGTCTGTGTGTTCGTGGCCATGCCTGGATTTCTTTCAGTTTGTGGTGCGAGCAGTTGTGGCCTCTTTCTCCTCGTGCGACGAGTGAGCACGAGCTCGAGTGCCGTCCCCTCCACGTGTGGGGGTGTTCATGCAGAGCTTCAGAAGGGCAGGCTGAGAAGTGTAGGCGTTAGGCCCCCCCGGGGATGAGTGAGTGGGGAGGCCTGCCTGGGCGGAGATTTCTGCTTACGTGTGTCTGGCTGTGTGTGATGTTTAACGGGAGAAGCGCCCTGAGACAGAGCTCTGGGCTGGAAGCCCACGCACGTTTTGGTGAAAGAGAATTTTGTGGTTTCCCTCTCTGTGCTCACCTCGCTGAGAGCCACGCCCAATCGGTGCAGCTTTGGGTCAGTCCCGGGAGGGTAGTAAGGCCTGTCATTTGTCTTTGACCTTGTGTCTGGACAGGGGTGTGGGCGGCTCCAGCACGCCCCCCACCCCGGCGTCTGTTTCCCACTGTGGCGTGTCTGTGCCCAAAACCCTGCTCTGAGATCTTAGCACGGAGGGGAAGGGGACTGTGACCAGATAGGCAGGCAGTGAGAGGTGGGCCAGGGATCTGGGCAGGGAAAGAGAGCCGATGTCCACTGAGCCCCTTTGTAAAGGGGAAGGGACTGAGCGGCAGAGGAGAAGTGAGAGCAGGACGACTCCCCTGCGTGTGTCCCGTGCCCCAACCCCACCCTCCAGCACTGACCAGGGAACAAGAAGCCCTTTCTTGCGGATGTGGAGCCAAGAGACCTGAGTTCAAACCCTACTCTGGAGCACACAGGCTCAGTGGCTGCGGGCAAGTCACTTCATTACGCTGAGGCTCCCTTTCAAATGGGGACAATAACTCCCCTAATAAAGACTTTTGAAAGTAAAGCAAACAGCTGCGTTCTTACCAGACTTGTGTAATTGACCGTTTTGATGATGCCTCAAATCTCGGAACACTCACACCATCCAAGCAGAGCCTCCTGATGGGTGTTCAGAGCCCAAAGGTGGGAGCGAGGCTGAGGGCAGACCAAAGCAGTCACGAGGACTGAACGTGACACGGATGGACAGTGACGTGCTAGCTGCACAGTGTGTAAGAAGCACCGATGGCTGTTACTAAGCAGCAAATCCTTTTAACCGCTTGTGGGAACCTGTCCTGTCCCAGGCCACGTCGTCACGTGACTGCCCCACAGCCATGGCCGGCCCAGGGGAGAACCCCTGTGACCTTGGGCAAGTCTCAGTATGTGGTGTTTCTCCTGCACAGATCTGTCTGGTAATTCCTGTGGTCATGTCTGCTTCCTCTAGAGACATGGCCAGGCTCCCATGGAAGCACTCTTCTTCCTCATGCCACAGGCACAAGTGATCTGATGATATGTGTTGATAATGATTCACGATAATTCGTGTTAATACTCGGAAGCTCTGAGTGCAGCTTCCTCCAAACGCCTGGAGATGGGAGTTCATCCGGCTTGAGCCTGAGGAGGAGCAACACAAGGAACACTTTGCTTTCTGCACTGGCAGCCAGCAGGAGATGGGGACCTCAGGGCATTGTAGGCTGATGCTGATGACGATGGCTAACATTTATACAGTGCTTACTAATTTCTTAGCATCTTCGTTTGTATTTTCTCATTTATTCCAGACAGCCCTGTGAGGTGGGGAAACCAAGGCACAGAGAGACTAAGTGCTTTGCTTAAAGTCTTATAGCTGATGGCTTTAATGGAAGTGCTGGGATTTGAACCCAGGTGACCTGACTCTAGATGCCTCCCTTGTAACCATCAAGCCCTGCTGCTGCCTTTTGAGGGTTTCTGAGTTTCCTTCCTTGCTATGAGTCTCTCTTTAGTGAGCCCACTCCTCTCCCCTCTATCCACTTCCACTCTACACGCTGCTCAGTGGGATCTGAATCTGCCTTGAGGATGGCAGTGACTTCTCGGGCCTCAGCTAGACATCAGCCATGGAGCAAGGCAAGGAGACCAGTGAGACCTGGCACCCAAATTCTGTACTGTGACAGTGTCCCCCAAGATGAGCTGTTTGGAGACATTTTCTACAGATCCAGTGAAGGGGAGAGTCGTCACCTGAGTGGTCTTATAAGTTCTGTGAGGTCTTGTTCGTCACATGAGCCTTCCCCAGGACATCTAGGGGACAAGAACAATGGCTGCCCCAACCAGTCCCTGTATCATCAGTGCCTGGATGGGCACATTCTTCTTTTTTCAACGTTTATTTATTTTTGGGACAGAGAGAGACAGAGCGTGAACGGGGGAGGGGCAGAGAGAGAGGGAGACACAGAATCGGAAACAGGCTCCAGGTTCTGAGCCATCAGCCCAGAGCCTGATGCGGGGCTCGAACTCACGGACCGCGAGATCGTGACCTGGCTGAAGTCGGACGCTTAACCGACTGCGCCACCCAGGTGCCCCTGGATGGGCACATTCTTCTACCTGATTCTGGTCCGTCGAATGCACTTGTGTCTGTCTTTAGGAGAACTGGAAATACACGAATACTGACATTTGAAGAGAAGCTGAGAAGTGAAGAGCTGATTAATTGGCTACAGAAAGATACTTTGCAAGGCTCGGTTAAGTAGCAGGGGAGTCCTTCGGAGAAATTATTGATTCTTTTTTCTGCCTACAAGTCCTGACCTCCAAAGATAAACGAATACATCAAAGGGTAATTACTCTGTTACCAAAAGACACTTTGTGAGGCTGGAGGAGTGGCCAGTGGGCTCCTTTTGCATATACATCTCTACTCTTTTTTCTGCTTGCATAATTCATACTCTTTGTGAAAATTCAAATGGATAAGAAATATTTCATGAGGACAGGGAAAATTCCTCCATTATCCCCCTCCCAGCCCTCATACAAAACCCATAAAAGCTTTGATGCATTATTTCCTCCAGAAATGTTTTCTGGTTCTGTGCCAGGCTTTTTCGGTCCCATTCTACTTACAGACATCTTTTCAGAAACGCATTTGGTTGAGTAAAGCCAGAACCAGCCAGGACTCCACCATTATAATATTTGTAGAGCAAAGAGCAGTTGCTGTCTCTAAAGCTCCCTGTTTTGAAGCAGGAAAACAAATCGACCCAGGGCTTTGGGAATGAGCTTTCAGAAGGTCTCTGCACTGCTACAAAATCTAAAAGCACCCAGAAACCCATCGACCACCTCCATCAACCCTAGGCTTGGCTGAACGTACGCTTCCGTCAGCTCCGTGGGGAGTGTGAGCCTTTCATTTCCGTGTTTATTGTTGACAGAGATGGGGCACTAAACTGACAGTTGTATGCTGGGGGAGGAGGCGACTTGTGTCTGTCCCTGCCACCCCAGGGTCCCCAGAGAGTGGTTTTCACTTTCACTTACGCTTTGCCATTTGACAGAGCAGAGGCACTTTATCCTTGGCTGCCTGAGTCGTCATAAACAGAGTAATCAGGTTTCTGTAAGGGGCCACTGGGGCCTTCTCAGGCTGTAAATAGTTTTCTCGTGCTTGCCCAAGATGCACTTTGCTTGCTGACTGTCCACATAAAATGGCATTGCCATTTTCACAGACACCTTGGAGTTTATTTAGTGCTGGTGCTATAGATGGGCTTCCCTAGCCTAGGAGGACAGACATCATTTTCATGTTTTCTTTCTCACTGGGACCCTGCACACTAGAAAACTTGTATAAATCAGGAAACTGAGGCACAGGGAAACATAAATGTTTGTGGAAGGCCAGAGGTTTAAGTCATAGGTTGCCCCTCAGATGGCTGGCTGTTTCTAGAACTTCTCTCTGTCTGTCCATTCTGGCCTTCCTGGTCCATGGCTCAGATCACTGTCGTCTCCTGACTTCCATCCAGAGAAACACGAAGAGCAGTAATTGATGTGGCAAATGATACCGGCCCTTCCCCCACAATTCCAGCTCTGTCATTGCTCCCCTCCCCTTGTGCATTTTCAAAGAGCAAAGAGAGAGAGGGAAACAGGACACCTGAATGGGTTTTGTTTTCTGGGTTTGTTTCCTTTTCTTTTTACAAATCTTAAGTATTTTTCTTGTTGCAAAAGTAGTACAAACATGGTATAAGAAATCCAAACAGTAACAGAAATATTTAAAAAATGGAAAACCTTAGGGGCGCCTGGGTGGCTCAGTCGGTTAAGCGTCCGACTTCGGCTCAGGTCATGATATCGCAGTGTGAGTTCGAGCCCTGCGTCAGGCTCTGTGCTGACAGCTCAGAGCCTGGAGCCTGCTTCAGATGATATGTCTCCCTCTCTCTCTGCCCCTCCCCTGCTCATGCTCTGTCTCTCTCTCTGTCAAAAATAAATAAACATTAAAA